AGCTGAAGATGTATTTTGGTAGCATGATCATTGAAACGTTGTGTTTATGAAAAACAAATTAAGCTGAATGGAAATAATGCAAAGTATATTTCGTTCTGAAGACTAAAATATGAACCGGCCGGTTTTCTGAGGTCAAAATAAAAACCGTTTTTCTATAAGTATGTGTGTAATAGACAATTCACAAATTTATAAGAAAATAGGGAATGAGAATGTATGTTTAACAATATTCAAGACTAAATCAATGAAATAATAATAAGATTTCAAATTCTCGTTCACATTAGTATAGCAATGACAAAATATACACTTTATACCATACATACACAGAGAACAAATAATAACACTGCACACTAAAAATGACATAACAGCAGCATTATTATTAAAATTTTGTAACTACCATATTGAACAGGTTTGTGCTATGAATGCCAAAATAAGTTGAAGGTAAGTTTGACACACTAGATAGATAAAACAATTCTTGAAATGAGTAATGAAGCTATTTACCCAGAGTCAAGAAATGAAAGGAAAAAGTTGTACGTGACTACACGTCGTTGAAATGTAATTAATTTTAAGATGCATTCCGAATGTTTGCTCGATGGAGTCTACAAACACGTACATAGGTATTGAGATGACAGCGACATCCATCTTCTTCCCAAATCATCTCATCATTATAGACAGGGGCTGTGGCGTAGCTGGGGTATAGAAATTAAAGGAGTAGAGAGAGAGGGGGGGGGGGGCTATCTGTCGTTGTCTTACTAGTTGGATGAAATTCAAGAGAGAGAAGAAAAAAAACGAATGTGCAGTTCTGTATCGAGATGACAACAAAAATCCACCTTCTTCCAAAGTCATCTTATCATTTGTAAACATGAGATGAGGCGTATAGCTGGGGCCCAGTCATTGATGGGGTGTTGGTGTCAAGGGGAAGGGGAGGGTGGGGGGCAATACCGGTCCTACTAGGTGGAATAAATGCGAGAAAGGAATGAAATGTTCAATCTGGTATTGAGATGAAAACTTCATCTATCTTAATAAAATAAAAAATCTTATCATTGCAGAGAGGGGCTGTGTCGTAGCCCGGACCCAGCCATTGACAGTCCACCGGTCCTATATGGATAAAATGCGAGAGGGAAAAAAAGCCGTCGAAATAGGGGTAGGTGGGTCGGGGTCGTTCTCGACTCGCGTTGTCTTCCATCATATCTTTCTCTAACCCTCCTTTTCCATATCCTTCTCTTGTCATTTTCTAATTCAATTAGGGCACGTTCCCCCTTTATATTATTTAGTTGTCAATGTAAAGTGATTTTTAATTACATAACATTTTCCTATTCGTTTCTTAATACATCTAAAACGAAATTGGTATTCATTTCATGTAAGATTCTGCAATATCCTCATGAATAATTCAAAGGGTTAAATAGACATTTTAGAAGGCTAATATGTTAGAAATTCCACAAATTTGGATAAGACAAATAATACACACTTGTCAATAGTAATAACAGATTTGCCGACAGATATTTCGAGGGGGGTCACATACCCGCCCTCCATCCCTATGGTGGGGCCCCTGATTAAAGATACCAGCATTTAGTCATGTTTGTCGTGTTCGATATTTTGTAAATTGAGCACGTCGTCAGTCATATATTGTTATTATTGTTCGTCAAAGTCTCCTCGATAATTGATTTTCCTGTCTTTGTATGGAGAGAAGGTAAAACTCGGTCACTCTCCTCGGTATTTTCATTATCAATAATTCATGTTTCCTCATGAAAATTTCAGGTACACAAGTCATGAGCTTGCATACCGAACACGGTGGAGCAATAATTTGTGGCTGCCTATAAACAAAGACAAATAACTCTGCAATTTGTGAACTTCAAAACCTGAACGACGATTAGGCATCCATGTTTTTTCACAGAAGGTATTTTTATGCGCCTGCATGAAGTTTTACTTTAAGATTTATATCGTTGTTAATTAATTACGAGATTATCTGTTTCTTGATAATGTTGCTCTGGATCGCTTTTCGTAATCCAGATGTTTCCAAATACTATTTTACATTGGTTTTGTAAAATCCTTCAAGAACATTTGTACCAGAAAATTGCTACTACATTGCAAAATTCTTTCATTATTATGATGTTGTCATGTCATGGACAATACACCTCTAGTCTTGAATCTTCATATAATATCATTTACAAAGTCGTATTTTACGTAAGGCTTTTAAACGTTTGTATATTATTGCGCATATCAACAACTGTCACACTATCGCATTTTGATCCGTTATTTGAAAGAAAAAATACACCTTATCTATTAAAAGGAAGGGAAAAAAAATACAATTTAAAACATTAAACGGCGATAGACATCCTGTTGTTTATGTGTAAAACCAAATAATATAGTGTAAGGAGATATTTTGTTTGTTCGCTTTTCAAATTTGTTCTGTATGAGTAGGTAATTTAACATTTCGAAGAGCACCAATAATTATGAAAATGTAGAGCACCCCCGAAAAGATTCCGTACAATAAACACATTTTGAAAAACCTATATTATAGACGGGAAAATCCCCAACTATAACGTTCCCATAGTCTATTTCTCCCTCTCTCTATGTCTCTATCTCTCTTTCTCTCTCTCTCTCTCTCTCTCTCTCTCTGTGTCTGTCTGTCTCTCTCTCTCTCTCTCTCTCTCTCTCACTAGGTGACTTTTCTCTGTCATTCTGTTTAAGTCATTTCTCTCATCATAATTATAGTCGCCTGAGATAACAAGAACATGAAATGAGTTTAGTATTTGTCCCCCATAGTTTTAGGTTTTTGAGCTAGTAACTTATATGACTCTATAAAAATTCATCTGGAACCCAATCCAGCTCTCTCATAGGACTCATCTGAAGCGCCAATAAATACTCCCAAGTACTTTTTAAAACACTTTTATAATATTATGTAACATCATCTTTTTAAATTTTTTTTGTTTTGTTTTAAAGATTTTTCCCCCTTAGTTATTTCCCGCCTTAGTTTAGATGGCGCGTTTCCACAAACCTCCCGGCCAGTACGTAGTAACCATGAGGAAGCCCCGTTCTTCCCCCCCCCCTCCTCCTCCCCCCCCCCCCCCCCCCCCCCCCCCCCCCCCCCCCCCCCCTCCCCCCCCCCCCCCCACACCACCCATTCAAATTCTCATCGCGGAGCCACTATGTATACATACTAGAGAGAGAGAACAAAAAAGAGAAAGAGGGAGGGGTTAAGAGGAAGGGAACATTATTTTAGGTAGCAAGAATTATTTTTAAAAAAGGCCCGCTCTCCCCAGTCACCCCGTCTCCAACCTTCCCTTCAAATTCAGAGTATGTATGTGTGTGCGAGAGAGAAATAGTTTGTACCGGCTATCAATTTGAAAGTGCGACCTCGTCTGGTGAAAGTTCGCCTCGCTCAATAAGTTTGACACGTTGGCCCTACGGCTTGTGCACTTGCGCATCAAAACTAATCGTATAAAGATATTCAAGTTTAAGAACCTTATTCAGCTTTTAAAAAAGATACAAGCAACCCATAACATATAGTACGTCATGATTGTATTATGATGAAAAATGGAAATGACGAGAAAAGAGATTCTTTATCTACAAAATGTAGCGTTTGTTTAGAATGTGAAGAATATGAATTGCAAACGGAATTAGTAAAGGGAAAAGAGATGGTTTGTAATGCAGTCAGAAATTTAAAAAAAATAGTTGGAAGTAAAGCAAGAAATTACAACAAAACCCTGGCAATGTGAACGCGGCATCATAATACTGATACTCATTAAGCAAGCGTGCCTAAGTGCTATTTGATAGTGGTTTTCCAGGCCGTCTTTTCTTTCTACTCCATTTTCACCCTCTCATCGGCAAACACTCAGTCAAGATTTACGGACGGATTTGAGTCAAAGTAATGGATCACTAGTATAGCTGGGAATTATCGTGACTTCCCTGGTCGGGAGCGACAAAGGTTCTTAAAACAATGATTGAACAGGGCGACTTAGCGAAATTAAGCAACTGATTTGAAAACCCAGAGCTATTTCGAATTCCCTTTGGGTGCTCTATCGGGAGCGACAGGCTTTTAAAAACGATGGTTTAGCGGGATGACTAATCGAAATGAAGCAACTGCTCCAAAAATCCAACGCTATTTGGAAACCCCCTAGATGGCTCCTCTCTAAAGAAATATGATTTAAAAAGCGATTTATAACAATCGAGAAACTGATCCGAAATTACTAAGGTATAATTATTTGGAAATTACTTCTGGCTGCCTGATCCGGAGCGAAGCAGAATTTGGATATATCACTGATTAAACAAAATGAGATTTTAGATTTTTTTTTTTTAAAGATAACAAGCCATATACACAAAAAAGATTTTCCAATGTAATACATACAGGAGAAGTATATACATGCGACAAGCCGGCAACTACTACAACTAACAGAAGCAGCCGTACAATGATACTTATATCAGATGCGGTGCTTGATTTGGCAAAATAGAGAGGATTATTTTAGGATAATAGAAATGAAAATACTCTTTTGTTTAGTGATATTTGAAAGCATTGCTCCTCTACAGAGAAGGATCATTATAATTCCCTCTCTCTCTCTTCAGATTAAAGGCTCTCCAAATGGATGAAATATTTATCTAAGTCTTTTATAACTTTTCTTGTATAACTTTTCTTGTATAAATACGATCGAAAATTCTTCCAAATATGATAATGAAATGCATACGAATATGCAATAGACTATATTTAATGCAGTCAACATGTCTTGTGTAAGAGGGATTAATGCTGTCAATATATTTCTTGACGTACTTAAAATATAGATTTACATAACCCTACAGACTTAGAGTGCTTAAGGATTAAAAACACAATAATCATTTTCTTTAAAGCTCTTTAAAGTTAGACTGATACTGCTTGCGGACCAGGAACGCCTCAATGCCCTATTCAAAGGATACTATTGCATGCTGTGGCAGGGATTCGATCCAGGTAGCTTGTGATACAAGGTGTGCACTCTGTATACGTAACCACTAGACCTCGATTTCTTACTCACCACATCAATTATCTGTGAGATGGATAGACCCATGTAGACAGTGAGAGCATCGGAGTCGTTTATCACTGGTCTTACGTTAGACTGGTACTGCTCTGTGACTAGAAACGCCATCAAGTCCTCCTCCTCCTGGGAACCATGACAACCTGCATCAACAAACAAAAGGAGTGAAATATTTAAGAAAGGGATGATAAAACGCAATTTCAGAAAAAAAAAAGTCTCTGTAATTTCTATATAGAGTGATTGCCTAACACAATCATAAATATTTATAGATTATTGGTGATGTTGAGATGTCGAGTAAGCCTCGGGCAACCTGTCTTAAAATCTTACAGATATTGTAAGAAATGATTGCAACCGATTTTACATTTCAAAAGGAAAAGCAGATTCTTCAAAAATGTTTCATGATTGGAATTGTCATGATATATTATTAAAATGAGTTCACATCAGCAATAGATAACAAATACAAACTAAAAATATGTTAAGCACGCGTTACCGAATGAGAAAATACAGATTATGTTGGATCTTTAGCAGTTCCCTTTTAAAATACAACTAACAAACCAACAAACAAACAAACACAAATGACATGTTTGTATCATGCAGGGGTATGGGTCAAGGTTACTGAAATAGGAGGGGCGAACACCAGCCAGTTTCTAACTCCCTCTTCTAAGGTCTAGATAAGTCACAGTTAGTGTATTCAGACAGTAGGGGATGAGCCCCCTCCCCCCTCCCCACCTAACAAAAGAACACGCACACATAATAGGTGCAGACACACACACACACCTTTTGGGTTGGGAAGGGGTCGTTTAAGAGGCATGTGATGTATATAAGGCTGATTAGGATTAATGAAATGCGACTACTTTGTATTCCTCCCGCTGCAAAGACTTTCCGGTCCCCCTTTGTTCAAGAGTGAGTGAGTGGGAGAGGAAGAGGAGGGACAGAGAAAGAGATAGATGACGAGAGAAAGAAAGAGAGAGAGATGGAGATGGAGAGAGGGAGCGAGAGAAAGAGAGTGAGAGATGAAGATGGAGAGAGGGAGCGAGAGAAAGAGAGTGAGAGATGAAGATGGAGAGAGGGAGCGAGAGAGAGAGAGAAAGAAAGAAAGAGGCTGAAAGATTGCGGCGGCAAGTCCCTCTACAATCCTAAGACAGTGAATCACAAACAACACTCGGGGTTGTAATTGTGTTGATCTAGTCTGAAGAGACAACAATACAAAACACAAGGTTAACGATCAGAATACAGACTTAAGCACCCGATGCCAATCAGATCACATCGAAGCGTGCTCATTGTAAATGACCCACTTAAAACAAGACAGACATGACACACAACTGGATGGGTATGTTTACACAAGTGTCGGCACATGACATGTCGCAAAAAGCTAATGTTAGCGGGGAGCGGGGAGACGAGAATTGATTTTTCTGTCTTCGTTGTTTCTCTGCTGCAATGCATCATGAAGGCTGTCCGACCGACCTGTATTTAGGTTGACTTGCATTCCGGCAAAGTGATACTAACATTGGATATATATATATTTCCAAAGGGTAAATACAAAGCATGCCCGCGATGACAGGTACAATTCTATATGTAATTGAAATGACTCAGACAACTGTTTATCAATAATAACATACAACTATTGAATCAGTTTGCAATGATTACTTAATGAACACATGTGCGCCAGACTTTAGTTAACCCATTTTGACTATGTTGATTAATGTCATGTGTTAATGTTAATGTTTTCTTATCACATCTTTAAGGCCGAGAGGTCGCCCCCCCCCCCCCCCGTAGCCAATTCACTGTCTCCACATACTATTAAAGGTACTATTGGCAATTGGAACATAACTGAGTAGGGATGTGCAAATTCAATGCATTCAAACATTCTTGTTAAATATAACTGCCTTTGATATTGATGTAAGAATTTTCTTCTTTCACAATACGGCTAGAATCTCATCTGCAATTTCTGTTGAGGATCAAGCTTTGTCACGTTATCCAAAGACATCACACTAAACCTGTTAGCTCATAGCTGCATACTGTCACAAGTTGTGGTGCCACATCAGGGCAACCATTTATTCAACTTCACCACACTTTATCCACAACAGTCAAGCTTTCCTTTATTTGTGGTGTCTTATCAAACACCGCCTCTTTATTACCTCCAAACGCTAATCCCCCGTCCCGCATTCATCACCATACCTTAGCATCTCACAGAGAGGTCTACAGAGCAGGACGATCGTTTGAAACAAGGGGGGATGGTGTTAGAGGACGGACCTGTTTGTATCAAAACTGTTGAAGCCGTTTGTAACATGCATACAAATACGAGGGCATTACAATTCAGTGTCCTAAAGACAATGAATAAAGAATTCATAATTAAAACAAAACATGTTTTCATGCACTTGTTTTGTTTTGTTTTATTTTATTTTTAAAGGATTGGATGCGGCGGCAAGCTTCATGGAAGGGGGTGTCCTGTATTACCCCCTTAACCCCAAGACAACCATCTGAGAACTTGCATCTTAATGCGCTCATCCATACAACACTGTCGATATACCTACATGCAGTAAGTAATTGCTGAATATTGGCCGATTAGGCGTGAGCTTTAATTAACACTGCCGCCTCCTATGCGTCAACCGTAATGAAAGGTGATTGTGGGGGTGCCGGAGATGTTTGGGTGAGATTTCTTTTTTAAATAAGCAAGCAATGAATTATGCATGATTTAAAGAAGTCCATGTCTGGGCGTTAAGAACGCTAGATATCTAATTTAGATTATGCTTCTGCATGGTAACTCATGTTATTTTAAAGTTAAGTTAGTGTGCTGTAATTCGCTTTGCTTGGTATATTGAATACTAATATTTGCCCAGCCTGTGGAGGAGCATTATATAGGTTTAGCTCGATGTTTTTTGTTGAATATTTGATTTACTCAAATCTGACAAAGACATCTCAATAAATGCAACCATTTCATAAGTTCACCCATGATATATAAGAAAAACTATAGGTCAACCTCTTAAATGTACAGTCTATAAGATTCGAATCAATAACCTGCAGAAAGGAGACAATGTGTAACCCAATGGCCTTATCACTGAACTGTTCCCCTCTGCCACGCCCACCGACAAGTAAGGCTATTTTTTTTTATTGCATGTACCCCTATCAAATTATCTCACCTAACACTATAACATTTCATAAGAACCCCACCCCCTCCGAAAACAAAACACACTAACACATAAGTAAATCTTTTGATCAAGCACGTTGATGGGGTTGCAGTCCAAGATTAAACCAAGGACCTATGGTAAATGAGAAACTGATACTGATGAAGCCACTGTGTTGCATACGAGTTGCATCCATGACACAATTGAATATGGCTTCTTCGGTGAACCATTTCCCCTATACAGACAAGACATTAATCCTTCTCCCATTGCATATAACCCTACCGACCGAGTCATCTCACTTAACAAAGCCATTTCATAAGACCCATTTAAGATGAAGCCATCGACTAGCTGTAAGGCAAACACGTATAATGACCATATTCCCCACACGTAGATAATGGTGTTGGTTCACAAGCAACAACTCGCAGCGCGTGAGGTGGGTCAGATATTAAAGCTATAAAGCTACGTGAGCTTTATAGTTTATTGGATCGGAATTCATTAAGGAGTTGAAGTGTCCGGATGTGTTTAAAACACCCCCGGCATTCTAAACTCAAATGAATTTAAGATCTTCTCCTCTTGTGTAATCCCCTTTTTATGTTAAAGGTAACGCCATGCGCTTGTGAAATATTAGAGAAAAACTGACTCATTTTTTAAATAATTAATATTCTCATGAAATGTTACGATGACTATTGAATACCTCTCCTTAGCAGAGTGCAGAATGTGCACTGACAACTAGAGGACACTAGGATAATAATGCCGAAACGCGTTGTAACTGGTAAGGTGCTATAAAATAAACAGCAAACTTGAAACAAATACGTAAATTTGAATGATTGCACAAACAAAATTTTTTTCTATCTAGTTTAGTAGCAACTACTTTAAAATTTGACATTTTGCAGAAATCCACTACTAGCACGTGACACTTGGCTCGATAAAGGCCTGGCTTCTGAACTAAAAACACTTAATATTCAACGCTAACCTTTTGTTTTCCCTAAATTAAGCAAAACTTCTTGAGCTTATAATTCATCATGCGTAGAACAGACTGCATAATAATTCTTGAAGTGTAAAGCAAACTAATAGAATAATCTAGTCATTGATTGAAGACGTAACACAATGAGGAACACCATTAATCAGTCATTCGGTAGTCTGCAAATTCCCTAAACATTCTAAGCCTACCTCAATGTTTGTCCTTGGGGATTGTTTTGAGGTTCACACACACACATACACACACGCACACGTATACTGTATTTTCTTTTCAAATTGCAAGTATAGTCATGACGACATTATTTCACCATTTTTTACGTGACGACGTAAGACTTATTGTACATGGGCGTAATGTAGGAATATGTAGGGGAAAATACCCAACCCCCTTATTAAAATTTAAAAAAAAACCAGATCCCCAAAAAGGTTGTACGCACATGATCTGTCAACAACTGATCTGCGGTAAATTTCTTACACTAATCGAATACCAAACTTCAATCCCAGAGCAAAAATATACCCAATCTTAACCCTAACCCTAAACCCAATCCAAAACCCAACTGCAAAACATAACCCTCACCGTATATATTTGAAAAAATAAAGTCCGGAGCAAATTTGTCGTTTAACCAAATATAAAGATAAAGAGACTAAACAAGGTTTATCATTAACAGTGTATGCTTTCGATCAGTGTACCCGTCCCTATCCCCCAACCCCAAATCGCAAAATATGAACGAACGTCCCTTGTATCCTATCAATTCACCCACATCTGCCAAATTCAAACTCGGATGATGAATCCGTATTAGAGTTGTACATCAGTTTTATTGATCACATGTTTTTAAAAGTAATGAATGCATCATATACCGATTATAACTTGATATTAATGACTTCCCGAATTCCATACTTTATGAGTATAGCCAGGGGAGGTGAATTCCAAATTAGGAAAAGCGATTAATTATAAAAAGATACCCTTTATAGGCTGATACATCTCTTTATCAATAATCAATTATAATTGGTCGAAAACGTTGTGACACCTATAATGTG